GAAATGGCACATCTGACTATTATTATATTATTTATTATTGTTGTTATTGTTCCATAGAGAATAGCTTGTGTGCTCTGGAATCAGCTGAACAAAGAGACACGGGAGCATCATATTGCCTGTGTGGAGCTGTTCTACAGGCTACACTGCTTGGCACCATCAGCAAATATCTGTGAAGACATTATCTGCCATGCACTTTTGGATCATGATAAGGTAAGTTCCATATTCTCCAAAGCTCCTTCATCACTGTAGAGTTGTTCCAGTGCTTTCCAGACTGCCCCCAGTTGGCTTCCAGTCTGGTTTGCACTCACATGGTCCCTCTGTCTCTTCATAGTCCTACGCTCTGTCCTCCCCATTACGATTACCTGGAACCAATTCGTCATGGAACTACTGCTCGACTTAGTCACTGGACGCAGTTCAGTCAAACTGGAGCATTTTCAGTTTTGGCCTAAATCTTGTGATATCTAAAAACTTGCAGTCTTTTTTTTTTCCAAACTAACCCAACTCTATCAATAACTCTAAAAGCACTTTCCTTTTGTTAATTTTTCTAAACTTCATATCCCAGCAATGCATTTTGTTACCTTGTATGTGTATGTCAGCATAAATTGGACTCTGTCTGCTTTAGTATTTAGTAGTTCTTATAATGGCTAGGCTATATTTAAAGTGAGCAAGTTCTTAATTGTTTTACTTCCCTAGTCTAATGACAGAACAGTTCTTTCATAACTTATGTCTTACTTGTAAGAAACACCTTGCACAATAAAACTTATAACAGCCTTCTTCAATCTTAAGTATTGTCGTCATATCTTCGTTGTTGTAATTTTGAAACTTGTGAAGTCTGTTCAGACTTTTCAGGTAAAATTATCAATGCACACTGCCTGATGTAGCATCATCTCCTCATTTGTCATCTGACTTTTAAGCCTCCTTAACTCCAAACCAAGAGTAAAATGTTTATTCACACAAATGCTGAAATACTTTTCTGGCATACTGGTATATCCTTTTTCTGCTTGTAAAAGCATTGTGGCTGATAGGTTTTGGTTTTGCATTCATGGATATGTGGCATTTTGTTGCTTTAGTCTGTTGCAAAACAGAGAAGTGTTCTCGGGCTACACAAGAGGGATTGCTGGTCACCTACGCAATGACTGTTGTTCTATTAGAGGTTTTTAAAATCACTAAAACTTGATTCAGCAATAATGTTGCAACAAATAAATATCTGTCTTGTTTTCACGTGAAGGCGACGAGGCTGGAGGCACTGTTCAGATTCTCTGTCATGTGGCATCTGACCAGAGAGATCCAAGGCAGCAGAGTGACTTCTCACAATCGATCCTTTGATAGGTATTTTCCCTCTCCATTTGCTTAGGCTTATGTGTTTATAGTTTGTTATATTATGCTTGATTCTGTTATCCTTCTTCTGTGAAGGGGAAAAAGTTCTCTGCAGAGCCACGTGAGCAAAATGAAGATCTTCAGATTCCTTGATTTACTGACTTTGACTGCTCTGTGTGCATGGCACGCTTAATAATGCCTTAATTTCTTGTCTGAAGGAAGCTCCTGTAAGAATAGAGATCGCTTCATTCATGAAGTTTAGTCTGTATACTGACAGGTTTCTGCATAGTAGGTGCTTTTTCTCATGAAGGATTAGGTTAGATTTTTCCAAAGAAAAAGAAACGTAGAACCAGCGGCTTTCACCGAAAAACAATTCTATGTTTTAGTCTTGAATGACTTCCTAGTTTCAAGATCATAACCTTTGTATAAAACAGGGCAAAAGCAGTAAAGTTCTTTCTAAATATGTGAAAAACTTTTAAAATATGTTCTCGTTCTAGATTGTGAATATATGTATGGCCTTGGTTCTACAAATGCATGCATATTTGAATTCAGCTCAGGGAAACGCTGGGCATAATCAAGTTATTGTTGACAGAGATGTGACATTGTCCAGTGCTTGCTTGAACACACACTAAAAGAGCGTTGTTAAGACATGCACCTATGCGTTCCCTGCCACTGTTTTGTTGTTTGCATTAACCTTTTTAGGACTTTCAATTGTACTTCTTCATTCTGATTTCTCCATTCAGGTCTCTGTTTGTGGTACTGGACAGTCTCAATTGTTCAGATGGCGCAATTGGTGCCGCAGCACAGGGCTGGCTGATCCGTGCTCTTTCACTTAATGATGTTGCACGGATTCTTGAACCAGTCCTGCTGCTGCTGCTTCATCCAAAGACACAGCGCACCTCCATCCACTACATCAAACAGAAAAATTCAGCAGGTAAAACTGTTCTTAGACTGAAACTGTAAGTGCTGATGTAGCATGGCATACTCCTGAACATTCCCTGAAGGTAGTCTCTGAACTGTGATGGCATTCCAATAAAATGAGTTGTTGTTTTGCAGCAGTTCCATAGATTTCTTTTCATCCAAGTACCGTTAGTGATGCTTAAAACAGAGTTCAGGAGTAAATCATGCTAGTTCAAGGCCTAATGACCATTTCTATCGCAGTGGCTGCACCTATGCCCTTGGTTTGGAGTGCCCCCTGCTTTGCTCTGGGATCTTGTCCCACGCTCCTACTCATGCCCAGATGATCCACACTGTATGTGTGCTCACTGTTCACAGGATCCCTTCTTGAGCAAAATGAGGTCTCCAATTAAACAAAATCCAGGAGCAGTTTGGTGGCCTTGTCAGTCCAGAAACTGTTCCAGGAAACAGAATGGACAGACAAATCTTACTTTCTCTGCCCTATCTTATCCCAGCAGACCGTGCACCCTCGTGTCATATTTCTCTATTCAGCATATGCCTCTTAGTGTGATAGTGAGGGAATCATTAACAAAAATGACTGGACAGGCTGTGAGGGGCAACTTGCAGTTTTGGGCACGCTCCACAAAAATCTAATTTTGTTAACTTCTGAAAATTAAACATCTTTGTGCAAAGGAGATCCATGTTGAATCAAGAGGAGAGCTGAGTCCTTGTGACGTATGACTTCAGGTATCCCAGAGCTAGGATGTAGAAGTAAGGGGAGAAGTTGGCAGTTGAAGGTGACCTCCATCCACCTATAGGGATGTGATAGGGCGTATTTGCCCTGAGGGACCAATTTGGCAGGTGGAAGGTAGATGTCTGTTTTAAGACCCGTAATGAGAACCCTTATGGGCCACATATGGTTATGTGGCAAATGTGGAACAGATAAGTGGTGTGACAGAGGCTTGTGCGGGAGTACCTGAAGAAGAATGGGATAGGTATGGAGCCAGAGTTTACTCCGAGTACAAGGTCCTGTGAAGGCTGGCAATCCATTCAGGTTGGGAACTGCTGGAAGTAACGTGGAAATGAGACACCCTGCACCGGTTTATCCAGAGAACCAAGGTTTTTCCTGAAGCAGACCATGAAGGCAGCATAGAACTGGCCAGCAGTTTTGTGTAAAAGAAACTTCCATGCCACCTATCTCTCTCATCACTGTTAACCTAACTGTCTGCTTGTGTAATTGTTTTTTCTCTCTTGATTGGCAAATAATTAGACAGCAGACATTTACAGTATCCAAAGACAGCCATTCATTAGATGCTATACAAACATGGAGGTAACACTTTGCCTTCCTTATTCCACTGCATGTAATTAGAGAGAAGAAATAAGTGAGTATTTGGGGGACTTTTTTATTTTTTAAGAGCTAATTATCCGTATCACTTTCTTACTGATCTTAACAAACTATCTATGTTCAGGAAACAAAAAAATTGTCGCATCTTGGTATACATAGTACAAGAGAAACAACACGTGTTTTGTGTTTTGATCCTGTTCTATTACAATTAGAGTAGGTTAGTATTGTTCCACTATTTAAAAAAAAAAAAAATCTTTCCTCAAAACAAAATTTGTTCTATTCATTACAGTTAACAGCAAAACAGGGCAGATCTGCTACTTGATCATTGTTATTCTTTCTTTTAAACTGGTGTATTTGGTATAGAGCATGTTGTGTGTAATGACCAATTATACGCTTTTTTGAATGTGTTGGGTTTTTTATTTTTGTTTTCTTGCAGAAGATATTCGTGATTGGCTTCACAAGAAAAAGGTCTCTTTGAAAGAGTCCATTGGAGCATGTGAGAGCAATTCTGAGGAAAACCTTCCACTGAGCCAGTTTACTACCGTGGATAGAGAAGCTATTTGGGCAGAAGTGGAAAAAGATCCAGAGAAGCCCCAGTTAAAAACTGAAGAGTCTGAAAATACCTCCTGTAATGCAGTAACTTCACATGAGGCAGATGGTGACCAAGATAATAGTGAGCACACAGAATCAGCTGACACCAGCACAAGCCATGATAGTGAAAATACATCTTCTTTTTCTCCTTCACTGGAGCTCCAAGAAGTGAGCAATGAGGAAAATGATAGTGCTGCAATGGATATCAAAGAGAACATAAAGCAGGCAAGTTCTCTCAGTGCAGTCCTCCCTGAAAGCTCCAAATCCAGTATAGCACTAAATCTTGTGCGTGCTGACTCTGAGAGGACTCAGGCATCAGAATCTTTGTCGAGTGATGAAGAGGTGGACTTGGAGCTCCAGGAAATTACCAATTCTAGGTTGCTCAAGCAGCAGAAGGAAAAACAGGAGATGATTGAGGCTCTGTTCAAACACATGCTGTTATATTTGCAGCCTTATGATTCCAAGAGGGTACTGTATGCTTTTTCTGTTCTGGAGGCAGTACTCAAAACAAACCCTAAAGAATTTATTGAAGCTGTAGCTAGTACTAGCATGGATACTAGCTCCACAGCACATTTGAATCTAATTTACAATCTTCTAGCTCGCCATCAGGAAGCTCTCGTAGGACAAAGTTTTTATGGCAAGCTTCAGACTCAGTCCCCAACCATGTGTCCCCATTCTCTCCTTATAGAACTGCTCACGTATCTCTGTCTGAGTTTTTTGCGCTCGTATTACCCATGCTACTTGAAGGTCACACACAGAGATATGCTTGGCAACAGAGACGTTCAGGTAAAAAGTGTGGAAGTCCTGATTAGAATGATGACCCAGCTGGCTACCATGGCAAAGTTAGCAGAGAATAAGAATCTAGAGTTCATACACAATTTGCTAGGAAGATGCAAAATTCAAGAGTTTGTTCTGCTTTCTTTATCTGCATCTATGTATACAAGTCAGAAACGGTATGAACTACTTACGGCAGATGCAGTAAATAATGTTCCTGAGGAAGACCTCTTTGAAGAGAGCCTAATCAATTTTGGGCATGATCAAATATGGAGCGAACACCCACTCCAGATAGAGTTGCTGAAGCTTTTGCAGGTATTAATTGTCTTGGAGCACCATCTTGGGCAGACTCATGAGGAGCAGGAGAATCAGCCAGACCTCTCTAAGGAATGGCAGCAGGCTCTTAATTTCCAGCAGGCCATCGGTGCAATGCAGTATATCTATCCACATCCAATAACTTCACAGGGATTATTTGTCTCTGCTGTCGTTAGAGGCTTGCAACCAGAGTATGGCCATGGGATGCATCCCACTTGGGTAGGCTTAGTCACGTGTTCCCTGCCCTACTTTGGAAAGTCCTTAGGCTGGACTGTGGCACCATTTGTTGTACAAATATGTAAAAACCTGGATGAGCTTGTCAAACAGTATGAAAATGAAACTCTGAAGACATCCATGAAAACATCAGCAAGGTAAGAATCTGCAATGTGGAATTTGTTACGCTGAAACTTTATTTATTTATTTATTTGTTTATTTGTTTGTCCTTATTACAGAATAGTACACATTAACTTATGCTGTTTAGCGCTGGGGCTCCCAGAGTTTGATCCTCAAACCCTGTTGCTTGTGCAGGTGTCTGTCCCTTGCCCCAAATTGAGGTGGAGGGAGTGTTTTTGCAGCAAGGCTCATTGCAGTTGGATGAGGGAGGAAAGGGGACCAGCAGCAAGAATGCTGTGGTACTTCCTGTCCCCTTCTTCCTGCCATCCAGGGGAAAAAAAACTTCCCAGTTTTGAAAAGGCTTGGGGTTTTGAAGGACTTCCTGGGGAGAGAGACCCTGGAGAAGAAAAAAAAACAGTGATACTCTCCAGGATAGGCAGTGAGAAAAAAAAAAGAGTATAGGAAAAATATGTGGATGTCAAAGGGTCCTAGCGAGGTGGAGAACAATTTTCTAAAAGATCTAGACAAGGAAATGGGGTTATCCAAGCATAGTTTCTGAATCATCTGTTTTGGTATTACTGTCTGATCTTTCCGATATTCCTTTAACTGTTGAATAGAAAACAGATTTCTATTGGAATTCTTAACCATGGAAATAATCTCTTGGCCTGTTAAGCTTGCTTTTTTTTTTCCCCCCCTCCAAAGCTTAACCTCTAAAAGAGAAAATGTTACACCTGATTACCCATTAACTCTTTTGGAAGGTCTGACAACCATTGGTCACTTCTGCCTTCTGGATCACCCTCATCAAACTAAAAAGGTAACTGCTTAGAGCCCACCACTCAGCAGCTTGGCACAAGACCATCAAATTGTGCATGCACGTATTGCTCAGAGGTGATTATAAGTAGTGAGGGGGAGTTTGTACAAGAAAAGCCTAGTTGCATACCAGAAAAAGAGAACTAAGTGAATGTATAAGGGAGTGGAACTGAACTTCATTTTTATTTGAAGAAAGCAAGGTTAGTTTTAAGCGTAAAAAGTTTAAGATGATCTCAATCATGCAAATACTAATCCTGTGCAGCTTCTTTACAGTTGCTGTGTCAATAACTGTCTTGTATTTTCTTTTAAGTCAGGCAGATGTTGATAATATGCTTTCTGATATTCTCTACATTTTTTTTTTGTCCTAGTAACTTAAGAGGAGGATGTTATCCTAATATACAATTTCTTGGCAAACTGATTCTCTCTATGCCAAAATAGTGATCAAAAAAGTCTTATAGTAGCAGTCAGAAATAGAACAGTTGAATTAATTATTTTTAAAGTTGTCATTACAAAAGGTTCCCTTAATTACAGAAAAGGAGCAGTGACTCTGCAGTGTGTTATATCAGGTATTTTGATATTCATATTTTTGTTTTTCTAGTCATCATGTGTAGCTGAACCTGCAAACCTGAGAAACGCAAGGAACGCCATTTTGGAAGAATTGCCTCGTATCATTAACACCATGTCTCTTCTGTGGAGCATTATAAAGAGGGAAGACTGTCAAAAAAGGCCGACTGACTTTTTTGGAACAACTAAAGGCTCTTCTTCAGTCTATTTTAAAGCAACCAAGGTAGGAGTTCTTTTAAACTGCTTCTTTACCATCCCCTCCCTCACCCAGGCATTTTACATAGAGTTCATAGGAATAGTTTTGCCATCCCCAGAACAATATTAGGGCATGGAGAGTTTTTGAAGAACTCTTAGAAGCTACAGAGTTGTGCAGTGCCTGCCCACAAAGGCAGGTTTGCATTGTTCCATCTACCTGTCTGACCTCTAGCTGACCTGTTTGATTTCCCTTTTTCTGTGAGCTTCCTTTAATGGCTGCTGTAGAGCTAGCCTCTCTTGAGTTGTCTGCACCTTCAGCAGGCAGTAAAGCACATCTGAGTAGAGGTGTGGTCCCCACATATGAAAGTTCTGTTTTTTGTGAATAATATTGCTGTATAAGTACTCTCTTTTTTGTTTTTCTTGGTAACTTTATTTCATGGAATTTAATCTCTTCATTTAAAGTCTGTGGAGAGAAAATCATTGTGCTAAGGAACTACTGCAAATGTTTACATTTAGATTACTATGTATGATAGTAGTTCAGTTCTATGTTTTTACCTTTTTAAATAATTATTAGTAAAACTATAAAATTACTTTTCCGTAAGCAAGCTGTCTCAGAGCCATTAAGCATCAACTAATAGTTGGTGTCTGAAAACATCCAGTTTGGTCTTTTAATTTATGACCTTCGATTCTTACCAAAAGCATCAAAATGTATTGAAACACATTGTAAACTGTAGAAGGAAGGCTATTTCAATCACTTTATAAACACAGTACTTATTTTAACCCTCCTTTAGAAAACTTCTTAACGTCTCTTAGATCATTGAGACTCTATTCTAAGCTCCCATCTTTTACATCCTTCAAATTCTTTTCATTCTTTGAGATTTTTTAACTTTCTGTTCATTACAGAACAGCTTTCTTTACTCATTTAAGTAGTCTGCATATTATTCCATCTAAATGTAAACTTATAAACACCCAAGGGAATAAAAATACTATATTCTTCCTTCTTTCCAGAGGTGGATAAATTGTGGTAGTGAAAAGTATTTGGAGGAGAAGAGAGACTATATCACAAGAAGAAGTTAGTTTTTCTGTTTGCAGTCTGTTTTCCACGGTGTGTGTCTGCCTTCCATAAAGAAGACTCACTAACTCATGAGCAAATTAGCAAAAGTAGCCTGACTGCCAAGCATATAAAGAGATTCTTTTGCTGTTGTTATTTTTTCTGAATATCTTTAGAAAAGGAAAAATAGGTTAAAAATAAAACCTTGTGACTCAGCCTTTGCCTTACAGAGTCTAGCGATGACAAATCTTTTTTTCCTCCCGTCTGTAGACTTTAAAAACTAAAATATTGGACTTTCTGAATCCACTGACAGCACAACTTGGAATCCAGTTAATGGCAGCAATTGCAGCAGTATGGAACAGCAAGAAACCTCGTAGGAATCAAAGTAAAATAAAGGTGACACTGAACAAGAAATGCTTAATTTTTCCGTATAAAAACAAACGTTAAATTTATATGATCAGTTTTCAACTCTGATCTTATTGTTAACTTCTTTACAAGTGACAAAGGCAAGCCACAGAAGAATCTAAGGTGTTCTTATTAATACATAATTCTGCAAAGCATCAGGACTGCAAATAAACCAAAAGAAATAATCAAATAAAAATGACAGTGTGGCAGTTCAAGTCTGACATTAATAGCTACTTTTTCTTTAATGTTGGCTTATAACCTCGGGATTATGATTTGCCAATTTTACTGTAAAGATATTTGATCAGCTCCGCTTCCAGAGAAAGATTTGAGAGATAGTATTCCCTGGAACTGAACATAGATTGACTAGGAGACTGTTTCTCTTGTGCTTTCACTCGGGCACCCGGAAATTGCTTTGATGAAGGTGTTGGAGAAAGTCCTCGTGGAAAATCATTGAATGATTGATTTAACTTGTCTAGTTTTAAGTTTTGCATAAGTGTTGATATCTGATTAGTCACACAAAAAGCTGTTTTTCAACTTCATGTTTTGCCTGGTACAGCAATGTTTCTGACTGAGGGTATGGGTGCTTTTTGTTGTGTTTCTTGTTTTTGTTAGATTCTTCCAGTGGCTAGTGCATCTCAGCTTGTTCTTGTGGACTTGATATGTGCACTTAACACATTGAAAATTGACACTATATTACAACTAGTCAAAGAAGTAGTGAAGAAACCATCGCAAATCAAAGGCGAAGAGGTAACTGCGAAGATAACAATTCAATTTTCTAAATATATTCTATTCTATTTGAGTGTGTCTTTTAAATACTATTAGAAGGAAAAGTATTTTTTTAAAAAGCGCACATCATTTTTGTTCCTTAATAGGTTATATTTTCCAGACTGTAGGTTTCTGTGCTCAGATCCATCAAAGTAAGTAGATTTTTCAGAACGTTTTGCTAGAGAAGTTGCTGGTAATGAAAAGCTGTGGAGTCCTCCAGTACTGAAGAAGATGACAAAGTTTCATAAAGCTACTGCGAACGTCAAGCTCAGTGACACCATTCTATCTCCTTGCCCTTAGCTAAACTGTTAGAAATTCTTCCACATTGAGTCTGCTGCTTTCTGACTGGCTTTCAAGGAAGACAGTTTTGTTGCCATGCTTGCCCTTGTAGGAGCTCCTGCATCTCTGAAAAACTGTACTGAATATTCAGAAGTGATATGACTGCTTCTGAACTAAGGTCCTCCGTTAAAAGCTCTGAACTCCCTCATACTGCTGTATGCTGGTTGTATCATAGCTGGTCACCTGTTAGGAAAACAAATGGCATCTAAGAAGAAATCTAGATGTTTCCATCTAACACAAGTACTCAGCAACTTAGACTTTTATTTGAGGGTGAATAATTGCATTCTTGCTCTTATTTTTCAGAAATCTTCTCTTGTAGATATTCCAGCGCTGCAGTTCAGTTATGCTTTCATTCAAAGGTAATTCAGTCATTATAGAAAAGGATTTTCTGTTTTACTCTAAATGTTAGGGTAACAGTATTACTGTTTTAAGTTTGTTCTTTGATCTTCATGGTGCTATGGCACAGAACACCTTTATGTACAAAGTGATTATTGCCACTTCATTATGTCATTATGATTCATTGATCTATTGATAATGCCAGTCTGAAAGTCTAATTTCATGCTAATTGCGAGCAACATACTTCAAGCAGTTCATCTCATTAGCAAGACACTTGTACAGGTTCTTAAGATATTTCTCTCCCCTTATCCACTCTGTGTTGCCAGAGGAACAGATAGAGAACGATAAATCTTACTTCCATCCTTTTCAGAAAGATACAATAGAATTGCTATGAATCCAGTCTGCACTGGAAATGTAGGGAGTCAGACAGCTTAGGGGCAATAGACCTTTGATCAAAACTTCTCTTCACATAATTGGCCTTTATCATATGGAAGCCTTAGAATACAGGAGGCTGTGCAATATACGGTACGTAATAAGCTAAGGAGATAAAAAGTAAGCTGGCATGCAATGGAGGGGTTAGCTAAGCTTTATTCCTTTTATTCCCCTTGAAGACCCACCCCTTTTATGGTGCTGGTTGGCATATTGCACATACTGCTAGCATGTACTTGTATATGTGTGTTGCCTGTGCTGCCAGATATCCATATATTTAGACCACACTGTTGGCCTAAATCTAGGAAGGGACAGGATTTAAAAGTCTAGCCTTGGTGGAAGCTTTTAGGGTCACCAGGTTACACGTGTGGATTGCTGGATTGAGGGTCTTTTGGGTTTTGTATGTGTGTTTGGGGCAGGGGGTGAGGGAGGTCTCTAAACCCTGACTTCAGACTTGGGTTTGTTTGTTTGTTTGTTTGTTGGGCAGATTGCCTGTCTCAGCCTTGCAGGAGAACTTCCAGTCCTTATTAGGACTTCTGAAGGAGTCTGTGCAGTTGAATTTGGCTCCTCCTGGACACTTTCTGCTTCTCAGGTACAGCATAAGAGAGAATAAAGTTTATAAAAATATTGAGTAGGCCTATCCAGTTATTAACTTGAAGTGAATTATTTTCCTACAGTATCCTGAATGACTTTGTGACTAGAACACCTACTCTAGAAAACAAAAAAGACCAAAAAGACTTGCAGGTACAGTGTATATATGAATAGCTTTTTTTTTTTTTTTTTAATTCATTAATCTGGTACGGTACATCTAAGTAGAAGTGGAGATGGCATGATCCATACTCTGTATCTGAATTCACCTGTGCTTTGAGAACATGTGAATATGCATCCAAACGTTGTGGCTTAGGCCTGATAAATATGAGAGACTTGATGCACAGAATGTCTCTTAAGAAAATTTTGCCAAAAATATGTGAAATCAGTGCTAGCTATGGCGTGTTCAGAGATGTTTGGCTATTTTCATGATTTTTCTCAGTTTAAATCATAATGTAAATGTGATATCATGAGTTCATTTCATATATTTAAGCACTGAAACCTCAAAACTGTCTGGGGAAATTAGTAGCATAGTTCTCCTTAAAGCTCATAGCTGGGCTTGGCAATGTAAATGACTATCAACTTACCTTTTATGTAAAGAAGGGGTGGAGAACAGGATTCTCTTCCTCTACTGATCATGCTTTCACCAGAACAGTTTAAGCACTACCCACACGTGTGCAGTTTTGGCTCTGAGCCAACGTAATGCTATGAGGTGAGACAGTGCTATGGCTGTGGTACTTTTGTATGCCAACAGAGAAAATAGGTCTCTGCTTCTGCTTCAGAGACTGGCTAGTAAAATGAAAATAACAATAAAAAGACAGTTTTGCCATTTTACAGCCTCTTTGCAAATGACCTCTGCTTTTAGTTCGATACTGGGGACTTCCTTCCTTTAGAGTGACCAGTTTTTTATTTCACTGGAGAGGCAATATGTTGAAATATGAAGTACTGCATATAGTTTGATGCTATGTCTTGCTTAACGCTGGTAGAAAGACTGAAATACGGTCAGATGGATTCCCAGAAAATAAAACTGCGCGTTCTGTCTAACTTAATGGTATCCGAGTATAAAAGGAAGAAAAAGGCGGATAGCTGCATTGTCAGAAAACTAACAGTGTTCAAAACAATACAGGCACTGGTATGCCATTTCTGAAGGGTTGTACAAGCCAGATCATGTATTTGACAGGTGACAGCTAATATATAGACAATGTAACGGAACCGATGCTGAATAGAATATTAGTGGTAATGGCTTGTGTGCGAAATCATGACTACAATCTCCATAGTAATCTAACCTAATGGTTCTCCTGCTTTCTGTTTTCTTGTCCACTTTTATTTGAAGTGAGTAGTAATATCTTAAAAACATAAATACATCTCTGATCTGTGCTCTCAAGATAACCTATTACTTTGAACGTCCTGCCATTTTCCATGTGAAAGTGACTTTACTGGATTGACCAGGTGGCGATAGCTTTCTTCTGATGCCGGATTGTCTGATTATATTATAGGAGGTGACCCAAAAAATCTTGGAGGCTGTAGGGACCATTGCTGGTTCTTCTCTGGAACAGACTAGCTGGCTGAGCCGGAATTTAGAAGTGAAAGCTCAACCTCAGATTTCACCAGATGAGTTCAATGCTGAAGACGTGAATGGTAACGTGGTTATATCTGATTTTCTGCTACTTTCTGTGTGCCGCTAAAGTTCACTGAAAAGTACAAGGCGTTAGAGAGCGTGCAGTCCTTGTGAGAAGGAAATAATCTAGACAAAAAGTAAAATGAAAAATATGCATTGTCCTCCACTAGCAGTGCCAGCCTAAGCAAGGTTAATAAATATCTGCAGACTGTGTAGAATATAGAAGAAAACACGCATGCAATACATGGGGAAAGAACAGTATGGGGCATGAGGTATGTCGTCCTGGCAAGATCCCCAGAAGTATTTCATTGTAATACCAATATGCAAATAACAGTTCTCTTTGCAAAGAAAATTATCAAAGAGCAAAATTTAAACGTGTCTTGTCTGAAGTGCAAACTAAATGATTTTGCCTCTTATAGATACATCAGCAACACCATCTTCAATGGTTTCTGCCTCTGCTCCTTCGATATACAGCGTCCAAGCTCTTTCACTCCTTGCAGACGTAAGTAGGAACCAGTTTTGTAGTTGCTGCTGTCATCTATGGGTTGGTTATACATTAGATTTTCCCATTAGATTAAATGGGAGCTTAAATCTTTAGCGACACATCCTTCGCGCACACACACATACTATCCTGAAATATGGCATGCTCTGCCCTTTTGTCAGAAATACCTACAGTAGGTTTAATGAGACATTCTTTTCATTTTTAAGGTTCTTGCTTCTCTCTTGGACATGGTTTACCGGAGCGATGAGAAGGAGAAAGCTGTGCCATTGATCTCACGTTTGCTTTATTATGTGTTTCCTTATCTACGCAACCACAGGTGATTTCTCTCTCAACATATCTGATTTTTCTTAAGTCTGATTTTTGCGCACACTGTAAGACTTGGCTTTGTTTTCTTTAACTTCTGTTCATGAGGGTTTAATAGTTAAGGGGAATTGTTAGGGTTGGAAACTGGAGTTACAAAACCTCATCTGAATAATTTTCTAATTTAATCATTAACTGTATGGGACAGACAAGCATGTTCTCCCTTTCCAGTATCATAAAGATGACCTTTTGCTCTAGAAAAAAATCTCAATAGTTTTGTTAACAAGTGTAAATTTTCCCCAAGAAAGGGAAACTTCCTTTATGAGCCTTAGCCCTCTTATCTCCTGTGCTCAGAGAAAGCTGCTGAATCACACTCCAGAAGAGCTTCTCTCTCCACTCACTCTAGAAGTTCTAGGGAACTAGGCACAGTAGGCTAAAATAAACCTCTGGGATTACTCTTCTCCTCCCTCTCCTTGCTGCCCACACACATACACCTCCCAGCTGGAAGAGCACAATTAATGAGAACTCCTTTCTGGTAACAAATGTTTTGGAAAGCTACTTGCATGTGAAGTCACTGAGACTGTCGGCTGTTCCGAGATGTGTTCTCTGGGCCTTAGTTGTTCAGTGATCTTGCATCTTGAATGATGAGCCATGCTCCACATCCATGTACCGTAATACAAATCTTTCCTTTTGGAAATGTAGCATAGCCAGGAAGTTAACGCTAATAATGGTAGTTCTCTTCTCAACACAGACCCCCTAATAAGAGCAATCTGTCAACCCTGCCTTACTGAACATTTGCAGCACAGCTGCCCTGAAAGAAAGTTGAGCTCCTAAATCACAATTTGTGTCCAGAGACTTGTCAGCACTGCAGCTCCCAGTGAGAGGGCTAACTGCCCATTTTGAATCTGCATTGTGCTTAAGAGACAGGGCTGTTGGAGAGAGACTCATAGGGGCATTGCCATGTTTTGAAATGAGTTTTGTTTTTTGGCTTTTACAGTGGTTTTTCTGACTGTTCTGTCTCCTATAATGGATGATCAGAATTCAGGATAATACTTGATGATTGTGTTTGTTAGTGATCCGTCAGAGTGGTGAATCCCCTGAATTGTCTCCATTTATGAAAAGTTGGTTCAGTTCTCCAAGCAGTTTTGTTGCTCAAACTAAAATCCTTTCGGAGGAAACTAAGACAGAAGCTCCTCTACAAATATGAATGTACAGGGCTTACTAATTCCTGACCATGCTGCCATGAGGAGGTCGAGAGTGTTCCTACCACATATGGGCCAAAAGGAGGCACTCAGATCTGGGACATCCTGAAGTTGTTCTTGTGCTGTGGGCCAAGTAAGCTTGTTCTCCATTGCAGGCCCTCAGTTCTCCCTTGCAGTTGGTACCTGTCTGTCTGCTGCTTCTTCCCCATCCTTCCACACTTCTGACATGTAAACCCTCCCAACTTCACCAGCCTGATTGCTTTTCCCCACTGCTGAATGCTGTTGCTTTCATTGCCCTTTACTGTCATTGCTCTTCAGTTTCTGCCGTTTTGACGCCTACTTTTTCTGCCCTGTGGGAAAGAAGTGCAACAAGGAAACAAAGCCACTGTGAAAGTGGCCAAGAGTTTGGTAGTCTGGATGAAGACCTGATGTACAGCAATCAGAGAGGAGCAGCACAGCAGATATGTGCCTATTACGGAGAGCTAGAAGAATTCTCCCAAGTAGGGGCACAGAGGCAAGCCTGCAGCCCGTTTCAGCTCAAGTCTGAGGGTCACCTTGCAGTAGTATCTAGAGGAGTGCGTGCTGTCCTTGGACCCCACAGGAAGATCTGAGTAGAGACACATTTAGGGACGCTTTTCATCCATGGACCCCTCTCTGTCCCAGAGCTAGCCTGAGCACAGCTGTCAGTTAAAACCCAGCTGTATGTACAGCTTCTCTACACTCATTTTTATGGTAGCTTTGTGAGTGAATTAATTCTGTGAATTAATGAATGCCTTAATTTCATCAGAAATTGAGGCATTTTGTTCAAAGCAGCAGAGAAACCATATACATCACTGCTTTGACCACAAGGGCTGCTTTGTCTTTAAAAGTAGTTGCTCTGGGACCATGAGGTATGAGAGAAGTCTTCCACGTATCCGTCACCTGTGTCAGAAACTGCACATCCTGTCTGTGTGGATGTCTTGGGCTAGGCATTGGGTCAGCTGTGCACATAATACATTGTCGTAATAAAACTCCCTCCTGGGGTTCTGTAATAAGAACCTACTTGCCAATCCCTTTCCTCAAATCAGGCAGTTGTAGACTGATGGCCTGGTCATGGCGTCAGTGCTCCAGTCCTGTCCCTGCCTTGCAGCTGCAGGAGCAGATTAAAGAGTTGCTGTTTATTCTGAACACAAAGCAGTTGATAACCAAGGAGCCACTGAGGACTGAGTTCATGGTGAAGCTCATTTTCCCCTTTACATACAAATAAGCTCAAGGTATCGCTGGGTCTCCTAACCTCACCAGCCATTTGCAGTTAGCAGCAGTGATACAGTCTTGCCTGTGAGAGTTTGGTTTGAGAGTGCACAAGGTGCAGCACTGCCCTCATTCCTGATTGTGGCAGACAGTTGGGGCCACATGTGTCTCAGGGCTGGAGGGGTCAAAGGGACGCCCTGTCACATTTGCTGACATGCTGTTGCTGCAAACAGGGCACTGAGCCTATGACATGCCCTAACCTTATCCCACAGACTTCTGTGTTAACAGGTGTTCTGGGTATTGATTGCAGGTGGAGGGGCAGCCCATTGTGTTTTATGCACCCCTTGAAGCACAGGCCTTCAGTTTGGATACAGCATGGATCACTTTCAGAGCAAGCTAACAAGGAGACTCTTTTATGCTCAAAGGCCTTTTCTTGTGGTCCTTGAGGAAAACTGGAGGCTAGGAGGAGGAAGGCCACAGGCAAGAGACAACCATGTGTCTTCAGACACTTGGAGACTGATAGGTTTGTTCTTCCCTCCTCCATAGAGTCCTCTGAGGAGGGAATTGCAGTGGATGACCCTCCATCTTGTTCCCACACAGCTGTGGGCAGGAGGCAATATGCACCCCAAGGGGCTATCTTGCAGCACCCAAAAGCGAAAACAGCACTGCAGAGGGTGGAAGATAATAGAGATGTGGTAGAAAGGCTCCTATGGGATGCTCAGCAAGGCTGACGTGGCCTGCCTGATAACCAGGCTGGCAGTGCTCAGGAGCAGGAAGCTCTGAAGAGGTGGGAGTGGCAGCCCCAGCAGGAGGTCTGGCTGGTAGGTATTCCCTGGCTGTAGGTGCTGGGCAACTTGCTGGAGGAAAAAGCCCTGCCTGCTGCTGAGGGCCGACCTCAGCACCACCTTTCATGGCTGGTGCATGGGCAGTCAGCAGAGTCCCCTCCCACATGTACCAGTCGGGTTGGAAGGGTGAGGTACAGCAAGAGGCTCTGTCAACATGGAGGCTTTAAGGACCTCTCCTGTCCTCTCCACTCCCACAAGTGTTGTGCTAGTTGGGTCACGTTAGCAAAATGTGTTAATTTTTTCTTCCTATGGACTCCACTGGCCCACAAGAGAAAATAAATGTTGTTGTTCCTCTTCTCCCCTGCTTCCCTGTTTCCATTCTTATAAGGTATGAACCGTGTTTCCCCCAGAAACTGAACTGTTTTTTGTTTGATCTATATGCTGGTCTGTTAACTACAGGTGTTCCTCCTGTCTAGGTTTTTGGCCTTTCCTTAAAGCTCCCCTTTGTCTTTATGTTGGGGAATGGAAGCAGGCTGTAGGATGGGACAGCAAGGCACTGGGCAGGTCACAAGACTCATCATGAGGTGGGAAGGTTGCAGTCCCTCCCAAAACCCTGCCTAGTTTTTCAGCCAGAAGCTTAGGAGTGGGAGAGATGGGTGATATCCTCTGACAGCTGTACAGTATAGCCCTTTTATGATAATGGCAGGAGGAGGGAGAGGAAAAAGTTTCCTTGCTATAAGGGTTTCCTTTCTGTTCTCCAGGGCCTTATCAGTTGGTTCTGCCTCATGCTTCCCTGCCCTTCTTTCTCCCAGCTGCTGCTCACAGATATCCTAGAAACCAAGTCCTCCTTTCTCTAGCATCTCTGCCAAGTGGCAGCAAGCACCCTGCCCCATAGCTTGCTGGTCCTATTTTCCTGAGTTGCAGTTGCTGCTGTGTTAGCTATTATTAAGCTTCCCCTTCTCCTGGCTGCTATGTTTTCCTGAACAGACCAGTTTATGCTAAGGTTTAGGAGAGCATCAACCATAGCTCAGGAAAAAAAGGGGAGGGCGATTGTCCCAAGGGCTATTTAGGTAGCAGTCAAAACCACTAGCCAATATGCTGTAAAGAGGGGGGAAAAGGGCGTAGAGAGTCAAGAAAGACATAATCGCAATAACCAAGGTTGTCTTTAAAAGTATGATGGATTGAGTGTCACTGGGGAGTGAGCAGATAAAGCCAGCATGCCTCAGGGTGTAGCAGTGCAACTACTACACCCTGCTACAACACTTCCACACCCTCAAGAGGGATGGATCAAAAACGATACAGAGAAATTCTGGGTAGCTGTTCCTTTCTAGTTGTCATGTTGGTGCCTTTTCCATTGTAGATCCTGCAGTGTTTTCAGCCTGCTTCCCCTATCCCCAAGTCAGTCAGCTCCTTCATGTATAGTGTATTTTTCTTCCTTGTTGACTGGAGCATATACCATCCCAGGCATGTATTCAGTGTGCCCACCATTTGCAGCAAGCATGGAGAACCCTGCACGCAGCCACCACTGAAACAGTTCCTGGGAGTGCTGGCATCTTACTGCTGTGCCAGGTGCGAGCCACTAATTCCATCTCTGCCTCATGTGCGGAAATGGCATGATTAAAACTGGCATGGGCACCATCACTGTCAGGATGTGGCCTTGTGAACTGATGCAGGGGATAAGTAGCAGCTTCTGTGATGCCCTTAGGCTCATCCCTTCTGTGATGCCCTTAGGCTCATCCCTTCTGTGATGAGCCTAGTTTTTCTTGCAAAAAACTACTACCATCCCTTTCGATCTGGGACTGACTGTTCAGAAGAAATGGGCTTCAGGAATCCTGATGAAGTTGCTGAGATGCCTGTGGCTCTCCCTTTATGGTTCTCTGGTGTCACCCTGGCAAGGCCAGCAGTCCTTGCAACTTATGCAGCCATAATCACTGAGGGATGGGTATTAGATGGGAATGTGGGGTCCACATCAATGATTCCCCCACTAGTGGCCTAGATGATTCTATTGATGTCACTCACATGTGCTGAGTAGCAGTTAGAAGATAACCTTCGAGACCATCTGCCTGCCTCTGCCCTTCCCAGACTGGTAGGAGTTGGGTTGCAGGGCTCCAAAAAAAAAAAAAAAAAAAAAAAAAAAGGCAGTAGCTTTCCCCTTGAACATGTAGGGGCTGCTGAAATCTTGTGTAAAAGCTTGGTGCCAGCTCATGACAGAGGACCTCCACAGGACTCATTCAAATTTGTGCACCCACTGCTATCCTTCCCATGTCTTAAGGACAACACATTCCT